GTGACGCACAGACAGGGGGGGGGGGGTGTGGTGGTTTGTTTACGAAAATAGTTCAAACTTTGTAGACAGATCTGTCACTCTTACCTCTACACAAAACTTAAAATGAATGCCTTGGGAATCATAAAATGAAATAATTCGACTGGGGATGTTCACAGTAATGAGGGACCAGTGGACTTCCAGGTGAATAGGAATTAACAAGAGAGTCTTTCTGAACAAGTCCACCTGACAAGAAGAACAATATACATTAGAGACAATTCCACAGGCAAAACACACCAAAGCAAGATACTAATTGAATTTAAGTCTCCTCTCTGCCACCCCGTGACTGAAGTCTTCTTTTGCCCCCTCCACTCTTTCAGCACATTCCTCATGTTTATCTCATATACAGCTTATTAGCAGGCACAAAAATACAGTTACAGCCCAGGAAGTGGCTAAGAACCATTGAACAGTACCAAAGCTAGCCACCACTTTATTGGTGGCAAAAGCCTGCTCACGTTGCACTTTAACATCTGTGTCAAAGTGGGATTTCTTAAATAAAGATGGTACTACAGTCGAGCCTTAATTTGGGTTAGCTATGTATCTTCAGTAATGATACTCCTGCAGCACGAACACCACTGATTTCTATCAGAGCTGCATCATGGATAGGTGACAGATGAAGCAGCTGTGATTACAAACACCCCACAAAACCAGCAAGCTGGTGCAGTTTGACTCCCTCTGCCATAACACAGGCTCTGCGACTTGTCAGAGGAAGGCAGAGAAGGAGTGCACGATGCTTCGGTGCGCAGAGGAAAGGAGAGGGTGAAGACACAGCAAATTCATCTTTTCTTGAACTTAACTTTGCAGCAGATGTACTGTGGTCACAGGCAAGCAAACAAGGGAGAAGGTCTTAAAGTACAGAACAAGTAGATCAGATACAACACCACCCCCAGTGTCTGTGTGGCAGATGAGCCCTTACGCTTTTGGAAGGGCATTTAATGATCTTCCTTCTCCCAGCTCCTCTTGAAATAGTTGTCTAATTGCTGGGGTTTTGGTGGTACAGTCCAGAAAATAAGCAAAAATAGAATACTGAACTAAATGAACTCGATCTGCGGGAAGATTTCTGTGCTGGGTTGTTTGTTTTTTTTTTAAGCACTGTGCAATTTGAACAGTACATAATTGCTGCACTACTGGTAAAGGCAGGTTGTTTGTAGGAAAGAAAAGTGTATTTTTTGAGTAACAGTGAGAAGCTGAAAGCACAAAAAGGTCTGAGCATTCACAGCCGTTACCAGCCGAGCCTTGCTCACAACAGTGCTTTGATTGCCACAAGCATCGACGATCCCTGCTCCCACCTGCAGAAACTGCTTCCTGACCAGATTACAGCACACTCGCTACACAACGATCCATCATTCTTGGAAAGAAGCAAAGAGACATCAGCCAGCAGCAAGCTGAGCCCACAAAGGAAAAACTGGAATAAGATAAATGAACTACACCTTCTGTGATGTCCAACAACAGCAGAGCTATGCTAAACTCAAGGGTCCTCATGTGACCCTAGTTGTGGGATTGCTGCAGGCATGCAAACCTGTAGCAGAAGAGTGGAAAGAGGCAGCCAAAAGCTGGAAGGGTCTTTAGTTAAGACCTGATGTACAGAAAGAACGGTGGCAACCTCGATTTGCTCCACCGAGACAGTGAAGAGTCAGCTAGCTGACATGACAGCGGATCAGAGCAGGAGTGCCAATCTGATCAGGGGCCAGAAGGGACAGACATGAACAGGAGCTTTGAAACCACTGCAGCTAGACCCAGAAGACCATGTCCTTCTAGGCTCCTATATCCCAGTAAAGCACATTTATAAAACCTGGTACAATACTCTGGTGTGTTTAGAAAGCAAACGCAAGCTCCCCTTAATTGCATATTGCAGGACGAAGCAGTCTACTGAATCCGTCCAATAGAAACTGCTTAGTTCTCATCCTTGCTTTAGATTCTTCAGGAGTTTAAGTGTAAATGTCTAAACAACTGTCCTGCTCTCATCTGGTCCCTCCTCAGCAGCAACATGAATACAGGTTCTGCCTTCAGAATCTACCTTCACTTTTGGGGTTTTTGCAAAACTTGGGTTGCTGGAAAAAAGAATATTTAAAAAAAAAATCCGGGAATATTAACACCAATATTCAGTCTCTCTTTAAAGAGATTTTAATAAATTATATGAATAGATTTTATATTTGGATAATGAGTTCATCTCTAGCATTTCACAGATGTGTGCTATTTAAGTGCTTCTGCAGAAAGATCATACATTCGAACATGGTCCTTGATTAGTCTTGCCTCATCTCCCATATTAGAAAGGACAAATGTTCACAGGAAAAAAAAAAAAAGAGAGCACTGAGGTCTTTGTATTAGCTACCTCAGAAAATATCAGAACCCATGATCTGGTATGGGTTCTGGAAAGCAAGGTGAATTCCGTTCTTGTCGTGCGAACAACAGTTCGGCTTATTAACTATGGGTCTCTAGTTTCTGCTTTCTGGTACCTCTATGTGGTACTCAGAAGTAACAGTTTGATTTTACCAAACAATCCCAGTTTGAGATAAAAGGAAGAAGCAGAATTAAGTCTGCTCTGCTGTAGATTAGCGTACCTGGCGCTGTCAGGAGCAGTAAGAGACATTTCTTGCAGCTAAATTAACAGCTTGCATGAACGTACACAAAAAGATAACCTATCACCAATGATGAAGCCATTCAAAACACATTTTCACAACATAACCCTACTAACTTGAATAGTGCCACCCTACTATTTTTATTAACCTCTCCCCACTTTGTATAGCTCCTTTGCAAACCCATCCTTTGCAGGTAACGCATTGTAACCCAGTTTCAAGTTAGTAATTCAACCCAGCCCAAAAGAATCAGAGCACTGATGACACAGAGTTAAAGGATACCTTTTTAGTCCATCGTTTTACCCCATTATATCCTTTGGTTACGAGCTGTCTATGAAAAAAGCTGTTAAAGAAATGAACCTAAAAGAGAGAGAGAGGAGGAATGAGCACAGAAATCTTCATGCACCGTCATTCCCCTTCCCCCAGGATAATTTACACAAAACAACTTGTAATGAGGCAATATTTAATGCAGGTTTAGAAATAGAACCCCAGTAGGGACAAACAGAGGCTTTGCCAAGCCTAAACTATTGCCGTTCTTCAGCTAGCACATAAAGCAAGCCTTATTTCCCTATAATATACGATGCGAGCCACGGCAGCATTTATATTTACACTTTTGTATCTCCAGGCATATCATGTTTAATTTTTTGTTGGGGATGGGCTTTGGAGAAAAACACCAGGATAAGGAGTTACAGTTTTTGTTGGTCTTGACAGAGATTAAGGAAGAGAACGCTGGACTGGCAAAGTGGGGGTGGTGGAGAAGGGAGTAACTTCTGGTTTTAGTTGCTGGAAGCTAAGACTCAAAAAAAAAAAAAAAGTTATGAGATTAAATCCAATAACATGGTCATTTGTATTCAACTATGACCAGCTCCAGACAAAAACAATATTCTGCTATTTAAAAGCATTTTTCAGTTATACCACATCTATTTTGTAACTAAAAACCTGTATCTATGGCAAAAAACATAGGCTTATGTTAAAAAAAAATTATTTAGCACCAGGTTAACACTATTATTCCCTGTGCTTAGCTTCTTGCAACTACAGGAACAGATTAATACAAATGGAAATCTGCAACATCTGTTTTTAATAATTCTGCTAGTGTAGAGGTGGTAGAAGGCTTGAGCTATTACTTGGAAAAAAGTTAGAAAACTCAGTATCTGAAAACACAGTCTAACACCCATTACCTATGCCAACAGACTTCAAAACCACATTCTGAAGTACCAGCACAAAATCTCCCACGAGGATTTCAATTATACACTATGAAGAAAAAGCGGACACAAGCAAACAGATACAATCTCCAGTACCACAACCCTAGCGCACACTCGGGAAGTACAGAGAATACTAATGAAGAATCACCATCACCACCAATCAAAGCAACAACGCTCTTTCTTCTGAGCTTGAAGATTTTACGAGTTACGTTCTGCAGAGCTCATCTAAAAATGGCTTTGTTTGGTTCTTCCTTTGTGGTCTCACCTGAAAATTGTTCAGCTCTAGCAGTAAACAGATGGCTTTTTATAATTGCCACTGCTGCAAATGTAGTCACAGAAGTGGGGGGGTTGTTTTCTTGATTATTTTTGTTTCCCCTTTCTTTTTTTCAACTGCCATCAACAGTTAGACACTGCAGTTGGAAAGCAGTAAGCATTCTGTTGTGGACGCACAAACCAACGAGAGTCCTGCAGAGTTAATACTGCCAAGGAACCAAGCAGCCTGCATCAATTCACATTCACCAGGCAGGCATCTGACACAGTTTTTTGCTGTTGCGGCCCCCACAGCTGTGAGGTGGGTGGGTGGGTGAGAGCAAGCAGCACATGTGCATGGTTCAGATGCTACCATTCATGGTTTGCCATCTCAGCAGAAATCCATCCTCATCAGAAATTTCAGCTGAAACACCAGACTGGTGAGCAAGGGCATGGATAAAGCACTTTAGAAGCAGAGAAGCTGGAGAGAGAAACCTCCGGGGGGGGGGAAGGAGAGTGGGATGGGCGAAAACAGGGCACCTGTCTTCTACAGGTACATCAGAACATCAGGCTACCACAGAGACCACCTGCAGAGCTAATCCAATAAGTTCCTGAAACAAGAGCAACAGCACTGAAAACTGTATTTTAGCACAGGAAAGGAAGAAAATTTGAGCAGCAGATAGCAACAGATTATAATGGAACCACTCAGAACATCATTGAGCTAAATCTCAATTCTGTATCTGAAACATTCAGTGTTTCACCCTTCCCTCTCAACCTCTCATTAGGTACATTTGCATAACAACAAAAACCCTCACCTTTTCAGGGACTGCATCCATTATGAGTTCACCATACATGTTAATTATCTGTAAGAGTTAGTAAATATTTGAGTATGTACAGAATAATTTTGTAAAACTCAAATTCCCAAGTTCCCATGAAATGTAGGACCCTTCACACTTAAAACAGCAATAAGGAGGTGAGCAATTATAGTAACATTTTGCTGTAGTCTGAAGGACAAGCACTCTGGAACTAATAGTGGTCGGCCCGGAGAGAGACTGTAACTGGCTGCTTGAAGCCTGCCTCAATCTGAAATGCAGTTTAATTCAATTTAAGTCTACTGGTGCATGCCCTGGGCACTGCAGCCTTCTTGGTTTTTTGGCTGTGGGCCACAGTCTGCTGCTTCACTCTGCTGTTCTTGTAATCTGCTCAAGCTTGGGGATGGGGGGAGATGCTAAAACCTGTATGGATAGCCACTATTTTCTCAAAATAATGCAACATCATTTCTTCAAAAGGAAACAGTTTAGTTGTGACAACTCCCATCTTCCAGACTTGTAACCACTATTATTGCACCTGCCATTATAAAAGCTGCTCGCTACTTCTTTTACTTCTCAAGTGCAAAGCAAGGATAGTCCACCTATAATGTGGCAGAAGGGGAACAACTGATATCCTAATATAAATGGGCTAAAAAAGGGGTAAGGAAGCACATAAACACCAAGCATCTCTGACCTGGTCATTCAGCCAGTTCTGGCCTTCCAATGTAGCTAAATCATCCATATCTAGCATGTGCTTATTATAGAAGACCCGGAAATTGCAAGTGGAGGTTTTTGGATGTTTTTCCCGATACTTCATGATTTCCCTGGTGATAAAAGGTTTTCTAAAACAAGATTGAAAAGGTAGAAAAAAAAAATAAGTCAAGGTCATATCAAACGGACTTCTGTTATGTTAGGTGTTAGACGTGGAGCGTGCGGTAGCAATGCAAGCAATTCGTCCTTTACAAAGTCTAGAATTTGATACTGCTACACACCTATGGGAGAAATCTTCATTAAAGACTTCTTTTAATCTTCCCATGACATCTTTTTCACAGAGTGGAACTAAACTGCCATATTTCTTCATAACTTCATCTAGGAATCCTTTAAATATACCAGAAAAATGAAAGTGCAAACATGTAAAAAACCCTCCCAGTTCACTACTCCAGTAAAGCCGTCATTTCTTCCAAGTATGAGCAGCAATCATTCTGCACCCAACCAACACACAGCACCACACATGGCAAGTATATATTTAAGAAAACTAAGCTCAAATTGGCAATATTAAATAAAAGCAGGGGAAGGAGGACAAAAATAAAAAAGCAGGAATCTGATCACTCAGCTTTACAGGGAAAGATCAGACCCCGTTCTTCCCATATACACATATATCTACATCAAACTAATTATATCAGTGCTACGAGGAGAATCCATCCCACTGCTTATTTCAGTTAGCATCTTAAATAATTTTACTGCAACATGAAAAGCCATCAGTTTCTGCAACAGTTTTCACTGAAAACCCGGTATCTTGTCCTTACAGTATGCGGAATGACTCTCCTCAAATGTAAGCAGCCCTGGCTGGCAGTGTGTTTGCAGTCTGTTCAGCTCCTCAGCTGCCACCATAGCAAACAGAAGAGACACGAGCCAGACTCTCAGCAAGTTTAACTCATTTACCCTAGTATCCTAGGGATGGCATTTAAGGTGCCATGGACAGCCATTGCCTGGGCAACCATAACAGCAGAAACAAAAGATATTAACGAGGAAATAATGAACAGATGAATGCTGGAGGAATTAAAAAAACCTAGGAAATAGATTTTTTTTTTTTTTTTCCTGGGGCAAAAGTGGGAAACAGGGGAAAAAAAACCCCCCCCAGCATCCAAAACCACTTTGAGAATGAGAGAGAGTGTGGAAAACGGAATTTCAACACTTGCTAGTGAATAAGAGAAAAAAAGACCATTAACTCATTTACCCTAGTATCCTAGGGATGGCATTTAAGGTGCCATGGACAGCCATTGCCTGGGCAACCATAACAGCAGAAACAAAAGATATTAACGAGGAAATAATGAACAGATGAATGCTGGAGGAATTAAAAAAACCTAGGAAATAGATTTTTTTTTTTTTTTTCCTCAGGCACAAGACTGGAACAGTGGAGACATAAATCCCACCCAAGCATCCAAAACCACTTTGAGAATGAAAGAGAATGGAAAACAGAATTTCAACACTTGCTAGTGAATAAGAGAAAAAAAGACCAAGTTGTCCAGCTTTCTGAAAATGAGTTTTCAAATGCAGCAGAAAACACGTGTTCTGTGTACAGAAAGCTGGATCCGAGATCAGAGTCCAGGGAAATGGCACTAACCCAAACTCCAGGACTCCTCTCAGGCCTGGGTGTGATGGCAGACAGACACATACCAGTGTATGTTTAGCTCTCTGCTTACTAAGGCTTTAACAATATTTCCTGGAAACTTTCAAAGATCAGGATGGGAAGAAGGCAAGATGACACAAACACCTCACAGAAAAAAGTGCCAGAAGAACAGCAGTAAGAAAAGAATAAAAAAAGAAAGGAGAGACATCAAGAACAAAACACAAATAGATGAGAAAAGCAGTGATGATATAGCAAGAAGTACACCTGGATGTGCAACAGAAGGAAGGGGGAGTTAAAGAATGAGATCAGACAACAAGGAAGAATTCTTCACGGGAAGATATCCTTCCTCGCGACTCTGCCACACACTTGCCTAACAACTTTCATCCCTTACGCCTTAGTAGACTGTGACAGGGAGGATATTTCTCACTCTGGCTAGAAGTCGAGATAGAAGATGTATGGGGATGTAAGTGTACCTTATTCTCTTTTAACGTATAAAATTTTTATAAGCTTCTTGTTCATACACAAGCAGCAAGGATTGTTCTTGTAGTTACAACTAACAGCAGCAGAGCTCCATGAAACCTCTAGCTAGACTCTGACCTCACCTGGGCTGGTGTAACTGCATAACTCAAGGAAGAAAATACAAAGTTCAGACCTGGTGCAAGATCAGGCACCCATCACAAACCGGATTTACCATGGAGCTCTGTTTGACACCTAATAGCACATCAGAATGCACTAAATATTGCAGCCCATTAACACCCGAGTTCAGCTACTGCAGAGAAATTCAAAACCTGAGAGCATCCATAACACATCTCCTTCATGCATCTACCCTAACAACTCTTTCCAGGTTAGCAGTATCTTTAAGGGTGCAGTTAATTATTAACAGCACTTCCAAACAGACAAGAACTTCTGTACATAGTTATACCAAAACTAAAATTCTTTTCAGCTGAGAAACCTCAAAAGTGCTATACTGTCAGTATGAGAGTGTATGTAGTGTAGACTTGGCTTCAATCCTCAGAGAGGAACCCTCAACTCTGAAGAAAATGGAAACTGGTCCCACCTACTTTCGTTCAGAAGCTAGAAAAGAATTGTCTTAAAATTGTCAAGCGTGGTAACATTTAGTGCATTTGTTGTCTTCTTTTTAGTTTCATTTTTTTTTAAGTTATTCAGGCCTCCCACGAACAAGAACACGACTGCCTATCAGACCACAAAACTTTAACCTTTGCCGCCCTGATACGATCTTGGTTCTTGACTGTTACAGAAGGATTACGTCCCTTTTTCTGCTGGACAAACTTTAAAACTCCATTGCAGAAGTGGTCTGTTCACTGCGGTACCACAGTTTCTCTCAGTTTCTCACACAGCGCCTGGTCCTTGCTGGATCATGTAAAGCCAGTCATAGAGAAACACATCCCACGCTAACTTGTGGATATGGAAAGCTGAATCATCTTTTGAGGTTCAATGTCTCCTCCTTCACGTTTTGCTTTAGAGAACCAGTTGCAAAATTGAAGGACAAAAAGGCGGGCAGAAAAATCAGAGCATGTCAAACTTCAAACAATCCCTTTATACGCCAGTTGACACTAGCTTCAGGTTTATGCGAATCTATGAAGCCAATTTCTCCAAAGGAAGACTTCAGTTATCAGAATACCACTGAACTTGAACATTATATTGATGGTACTAGGTGGCACAACGTGTTAGCTTACTGCTCCTTACTATGTGTATAATATGCTGCTATACATAAATAAGACACCAATTACTATTTTTACCCCCGTGTTCCTCTTTAGAGAGACTATCAAATACTGCATGCTCAGCATCGAGTAAAAAAAAAATCCCAAAGCCTTTTTGCTGAACCTTTGCTAAGACTAGTCTTGCCTTTTTAAAAAATATTGTCTAATAAGATTCATTAAGTCTACTTTATGAACAATCATAGAGAAAACTAAGAGACAACGAACAATATTTGGTTATTAAAACCTGAGATTCATTAAGTGATTTAGTTTCAGTCTAGGACAGAGCAAGAGAAGAGAGAATAAGGCTGGAAGGAAGTATTAGAACACTAAGAATTTTCAAAAACCAAGTTAAGAGTAGTAATTGTCAACCATTTAAAAAACTGGAAGTTTTAACCCCATATCATCTTCTGAAACTACATGATAAAAGACATTTAAAATGTCTATCAACAATTTCCCACAAAGATTCCAGTTAAATTACACTGTATTCTCTAAAACAAAAGAAGCAGAGGCACCATTCAACTATTCCTTAAAATAGCTTGTCAGATAAGCACTGATTTGTCCTTCCTTCATGCAGCTCTCCTCATTGCAGCCTCATTTCATTAAGTGTTATGCTAAGCACCCTTTACAATTCACAATAAGAAACCATTTTAATAAAGGAATTAATGCAACTTGTAAACTCCACAATACATCCAGCAGTTTTCATGAACTCCTAGAAGCCCTAAGATATGTAAAAGGTATACCACAAAGCCACGTTGCCAACTGCTCATCAGCCACCTGGGAAGCTTTCTGATTGTTCCTTTTGCCTCCCTTCCGAGTTCCTGATTTTTGTCCTGTGCTTTCTGGTGAAGGCTCCTCAAGAGGACTTTTACAATAAGGGTGATCTAGTAACTTTGCACTAAAAATGTCCAGGTTTAAGGAGCCCTCTACCTCCATTTGGCTAGAGCTGTCCTCATTTTGTGCCAGCTCCATGGATAAAGGTCCATTTGCAAAATCATCATCGCCATCAGAATCCTGCAAGGAGGATTGCAACAGTATCATTCCACCTACACCCATAACTTCATTAGATTCTGCATCATCTTGACCTGAAGCAGCAATTTCTTTTCCTGTCACGGAGACGAAAATGTCAGAGCAATGATCCTCTGCCAGAGCCCCGTTGGTCTCCACCTGGTGCACGGTCTCTGCCTCTGGAGAAGCTCTAGCATGGAGTTCTGGTGGGACAGCATCCGCACTGCCACCCTGCCCTCCGGATTCTGGCTCCTCAGAACACGGCTCAGCACACGGTAACGCATCCTGCGTACGGCAGATCTCAGGTGCACATATTTCGTTCTCCTCGCCTAAAGATTTGGGTGTATTATTGTTCATATCTGATAAGCTGTACCGGTTCCAAAGACGGTTACTTTTAGATTTCCAGTAGGAAAGCCAATTACACAATCCACTTTCAAAATCCCACTGGAGCGCCTCTTGATGGTCCCTCGTAACTTTCTCCACCCACCTTGGCTTGATTTTTCTCAATTTGCAGGTTTTGCCTCTTGCTCGAAGTTCCGGGGATTTTATAATTCTATACCGAAACCTAACCATAGAAAGTTTCTTATGCATCATAAATAAAGATCTCTTTTTTACAGTATGATGGTTAAATCTGGACCTCTTTATAGTTGTCAAGGGGCCACAAGTTCCATTCCACTCCCTTTGCAACAGCATTTCCTTTTATAGTCGTTTAAAACTACTAGGACTGCGTTGCCCTCACCATTATTGCTCTCTTCCCCGCTATATACAAAACCACCTTTCTTTACAGGTAAGGCGGCACCATCCAGCGTGCCACATGAGACATAATGGATATTGCCAGAGATGCTATTAAGAATAGCGACAGTTTCAAATTCTTCATTCAAGGGATCTTCACTCTGAAAGGATTCATTGTTGAGTTTTCTTACTCCTTCTCCAGATGGGCTTTCGGCTTTGCGATAGGGACAGGATCTTTTTGCTCTCAGTAGTTTTGTAAGGAAAGCCGTATGGTTCAACAGTAAGTTTTTGATAGGTTTCTGCATCTAGACGCACATCAGGAGCCCACCTGCTTTGGAGCTCAAGTGCCTTCCTTCTACACTGCAGTATTCTGTACAGTTTGTTGTGATTTAAGCTCACAATTGGCTGAGCACACTGTCTTTTCTTCTTAGCTAGGAAAAATTGCTTTTGAAAGCAGTATTTCCCAAGCTCCCCAAATCCAGCGGTCCATCTTCTAGACTGGGCGAGCAACTGACTTCTTTTCCAAAGCAAACGTCTTCTATGGTTTTTCATTTTTCTGCTGCATTATGATCTTGAAAAACAGCTGAAAGAATAAGGGAAATTAATTCAGAGTTATCTGGACTGTAACATAATAGCAAAACACCAAGACACATTCCTCAGGCAACATGCCTATCTAAAATTCCACCCCTCCTCCGAACACAATCCCACATTCCCTAGGACATTCTCACTTGCACCAAAATGAAAAAGAAGCAACAGTTGCAATGGCTCAGTGCATAAACAGGGTCTTCTCATTTACCTTCCCTTGAGGTAAAGCAATAAACAGGTAATCCCCATCCAGCCCACGTTCCCTATATGTAATTTCTGCCTCTCTAGCCTGAGGTTAAATCTCTCTCAATACTCACGTTGTAAAGCAAGCACGGTTAACTACCTTGCCTCAAAAGGCTTTTGAAAAACAAAACTTTGAAGTCCAAGTTAGCCAACAAGTGTGTGCAGGTACCCGATTCCATCAGCACTGTACAAACCGAACGCTTATTCTTGTGCAATAAATGTTAGCAGGCACTCCGAAGACGCTTCACGCGCTCACACAAATTTTTCCCTTAAAGGAACAGCAATGCATGTAGTGTCACAGAAATTTTGATTCTCTGACAGGATAAAGAATGACACTGCTTACTCAGTGAAGTGGTTCCTCTATATTTACAGTAACAGCTCACTCCATATGACACCACCACCAGCAACTTCTATAATCAGTGTTTATCTTTGCATTAACAAGGCAATATCAATGCAGGATACCAGTTAATCACCTTAAAAATCCCTCTCCCCACTAAAAACCTGCATCTCTAAGTGTGCAATAAGGATATACCTGAGACTACACAAGAGTGTAAAGCCTGCATAGTAATAGCTGTTCATTTTCACTTCATAACTAAAAATATTAATTCAAAGGCAGAAGAATCCAGAAACACAAGGGGAAGGCATCAGCCACAAACACAACATAGGATGTTTCATGCAAATTGTCCCAGGCTCACTAAGTACATCACATTCTGTATTTTACAACAGTTTGTATTTTTCTCAGATTCAGCAGTGGACTTTGTCCCCCTCCTCCACCCAACTGATTCTGACTTACAGACTATTACAACAAATTTTCCCTTAGCCACATCTGTCCCAAGCATTACACATAGGCATCACTTAGCTGAAAATAAAGAAGCCTATAAATGGAAATAAAACATCAACAATTGTACTTTAAAGGCAAATACGAATGCTAGACACCTGCAAAAAACAGGTATTTAAAGTCTGACTTAAGAAGCTCATCTGCATTTTTTACTCTACTCATCTTAGCCGTAAACAGCTGGTGGCTTTTTTTTTTTTTTTAAAAATTTTTGGCATGTGGAGGAGTGGGAGGGGAGTAGAAATGCAGAAAGGATGAAGAATACCATTTAGCACTCAGGTAAGGTATTCCCACCATACAGAAAACACTCCAGAGTTCACTACCTACAACCCAGAAAGGAACCCAGCCACCTCCACTGACAGAGATGTGCAAGACAGTACAGCTTAACAGTATAAGCACTGCAACAGAGTCTAGCTCTTTTGTAACCCTCTACGAGTCATCACGCAACTTAGTTATAAAAATCAGGACATAACATCTCCTCACACCAATTCCTACACGAGATCCAGTTTATGCCTGCTTTTACACTACAAACTCTACACGGCTGTCTATTGCGCACAGCACCTACAAAACATTCCTTGAGTGGCCCCAGTAAACATAAGCCAAACCAAAGTCTTGCTAGGAGAGCTAATTCCAGCCGCACTTCCACGCAGGTAAAACAAAGCTGGCAACGTCACAGTGTTCTCAACAGAGCCACGTGTACGAGGAGCTTCTGCCAACATGGCCAGCCTTGAGTGCTCTAGGAAGAGCACAGCACACGAAGGTAATGGTTTCACTGCTTCTCAGTCTCAGCAATACGTGCCCAGTAACCATGCAATGTACCTGCCGGTTTTTAAGAACACTCCTGGACGATTTGGAGTCATTGCTTTTCTCCTCGCTCTCTCTCATAGCAAAGTCCAACAAGAAGCATCCCTTCCACGGGCACTGCCTCAGATGTGGAAGAAGGCTGAGTGACTGACGGTTTTCTGAGCAGCCGTGGATTACGCAGGAGCTGAAATGCCTACAGCTGCCATTGTTTCACCCACAGCAGACCAAGCTAATGATCACAGCGAGGAAAAATACGGAACTAGATTCTAGCAAAAGTCAGTCCTGACAACAAAAAGAACCTGAAGCAAACTTGAATTGAGAGACAAGAGTGGTGCCACAGTTTCAACGCAATCAATTGCAACAGCAATCGAAATAGCCCGTTCACTCATTAGTGTCATGAAATCCAGCTTCTTAAACTACAACAAAGGAAGATCTTAGGAAAGCTATTCTACCCACCTGTTCTTCTGCTTCGTTTTTAACTTAGACCATTAAAAAACGCTTCACGTTATAACTTACAGGATTAAAAAATACTTCATATTTCACTGTGATGCACACACCAATTTCTCCACATTGAAAGTTTTTTTCTGTACAAAAAAGTTTCTCCTTAAAATGGGAAGAAAGTCTGACTAAGCCATTTAATCCAAGCAAACCTTTCCTGCCCTCCCCTCTCCCTTTTCAAACATAATCAATTTTGAATCTGGATCCCTTTAAAGCAAAGGCCTCCAAGGAGCAGTTAATCCCAGTCCTAGGAGCTGAAACAGTTCACTTTTGTAATAGCGGTATTACTTAGAGTGACAAAGGATAATCCATACGCAAATATTTAATTAAAGGTGCTGCTTGAAGAATTTATTTTCCATCTGTGCTACAAGAGTATTACTGGTTTTACTTGGCAACATAAATCAGCAAGGCAAAAGGACAGCTTAAAAGCACACTTCTAGAAAAGGAACTGAAGTGAGCAACATAAGACCAAAAATAAAGCAAGCGCCACCCAAAGTTTAAGAACCTGAAGAGACAGTCGCATCTTCGCCCCATACGCTGACACAGATGAAAAACCTCTGAAGTGGAGGAACTTGCACCGTTAAGAGAGTCATTTGGCTAGCATAAGCTATACTTGCACTGCACAGGGATGCTGCCAAGACTACACCAGCAAAATCTTAAACCCAGAAAAGCCCAAGATGTACACCTCCCAAAGACTGTAAGTGAAAGAAATTTACTGTCATTAGTCCTCACCCCTTCAGCTGTGTTTGACATACCATCTGCAAATGATTAAATATTAAAAGGCACAATCTCATTTGCACTGGACAAAGACAACCCCGAACTGTTACAGCTCTGCACTAATAGCAGATTCTGGTTATAAATTTGCTTTGTACTCTAAGCTTTTAAAAACATATTTGGGAGCCACTCCGTTTTCAGAATAGAGACTTATCCCAAGAGCTCTAGTAAGTTACAAGCAAGCATGACTTTGTATCAACTTGACATAAAGCTGGCCTAAAATTCCTACACAGGAGGAATGGAGGAACGCGAGGCCCTTGATCCCCTACTGAGTAACAAATTCAGCGCAGATACATGCTATATTTTCGTTAGAGCAACTAGCAGCTCACTCCATTTGTGGCTTGGCTTACATGGTTGCAGCTTATGTCACCTTCAGTGAAATTAAGTACTGGAAAAGATGCTACCTGTTCGCATCTTTCACCAATATTAAGCCTATTACAGTTGAACCACTAATTAATCCTTGGCAGTCGTATTTATTTTTGGCAGGTTTAGAGAGCCCAGGTTTTAAGCAAAAAGCACAGAAACAGGAAAGGCAGTCCCAGCCAGTGCTGCTGACGGGACTCTAACCACGGGTGCCTAGCTGACACCTGAAGCGCCAGACCACAGAAACCTTTCGTCCACGCACACGCAGAGCAAACCCACAGCACTGCAGCAGCGCGGCTACCTCCTACTTAGATCACCACAAGCTACCTAGGGCTGCGTCTGGGTGGCCAGCAGATCAAGAGACACATGCAGCTGGTGAGTAATTAAAATACAGCTCACTTGCTAACTCCTAGGTCGTCATTTTTTTCCCCCAGACTGCTCAGATTTTAATATTGCTATTCAAAATGTAGAAGCTTGTTTTGAAGAGCATCAGTAACATAAATAAAGCAAACAGCCTCGGGAGCGTGGCCTTGTGCGGGCGCGAGTAATTCACGCATCACCTGCTCCCATGGGAGGCAGAGGCTCTTGCAACACCCAGCGAGTTCAGCCTTTCCCAGGGGAGACCTGGGGCAGGCTCTCGGGGACGGAAAATAGGCAGGAATGAGAAAGCAGGCCTGAGGTTAGAGAGCTGGGACATCTGTGCAAGAAGATGCCCTCCCTCCCCCAACTCGAATCCAAAATTAGAAAGAGAGAGAGGAAGCTGGGGAAGGGTGTCTCTCTCCAAACCAGCGCGTGGCCAGAACTAAGCTGATAAGGTCAGGAAGTCTGAAATTATTCAATTAGCACATGCAGAAGTAAT